GGCTGCCTCAAGGACCAGCAGTGACTTGGGTTCAAGATGCTGGCTTGTAGGGATGTGGGACGCTGAGGCTCAGCATGGCGGGAACAGCAGCCACATGTGACAGGTGCAAGTGCTATTGTGCCTTGTGGAAGTCAAGCGAGGGGTAGAGGAGAACCAGGCTTTAGCGTATTTTGCCTGTCTCCATTTGTGTTGAGTTTTTCATAGGATGGAAAAAGTTATGGCTAGTGGCACGTATATGCTGTTAACTTGAGAGGAGATGACCTTGTACTGTGGACAGGAGCAGTGTGTGCCAGCCAGGAGGTGGCACTGGGCATTGGTAAATGTGGCAGATCCAACAGGGGTTTGAAGATGTCCCTCTTAATCGTGTTTAATCTTGTTGCAATAATAAAGCCACGAGCTACTCAAAGTATTAAGGGTTTTACGTACACAATCACATTCAATCTTTAAAAAATAAATTTAGAGATGACTAACCCTAAGGCTCATGCTGCTCAGAGGAAGTACGTCATGAGGTGACCTACCTCATGGGGTCAGAGGTAAAGGCCGAGTCCCAGACCTCTCTGCCTGTAAGCCTGGCTTCTCCTGATGCTTCACAGGAAGTTGTAGTACCCAACAGCTTCCTCTTAGGTCCACCCAAAGTTGGAAGCCATAGGGGCTGGGAATATCACGTACGAGCCAGGTGCAGTGGTCACATCTTTATTCCAGCTACCTGGGAGGCTGAGGCAGGAGGATCACAAGTTTGAGGCCAGCCTGGGCAGCTTAGTGAGACTCTGCCTCTAAATAAAAACAATAAAAAGGGGTGGGGATGTCACCCAGTGGTAGAACACCTCTGGGTTCGACCTCTATTACCAAAATATTATTAATAATAATAATGATAATAGTAAAACGGAGGGAAGGAGTGGTTGTGGTAAAGCTGAATAGAAGCTTGCTAGCTCCCTCTCCTGCTACTGGGAATAGGATCCTTCAGCATTGGCAGAAGCAGCATTTTTGAGAAGCAACCTGGATCTGCAAGAGCCATTTGGTGTCTTCCTACACTGCCGGGCTGAAGGGAAGAGAGGGCTTTGTAGGATGGCAGAAAACATCCCTTGGTCCCCCGAGGAACTGCCGGGGTGGCCTGAAGCTCATGCTTGGCGTTGTGAGCGACTCCAAGGGCAGGGACTTCCCCCTGAGTCAGTGCCACCCGTCAGTGGGAGAAACCCCTGATTTCCAGGGCCTCCAAATCGCAAGTGCTCCTTCCCCTGATAGAAGGCAATCGATTGTTCCTGGCCTCTTGATCATGTACCTGGTTGCCCTCCGGGGGAAATAAATACCCAGGAAGGATATTTTTACTTACTCTGCTCTCCCAGAAGATTCAAAACAGCTGGGAGGGGAGGCAGCGGCGTTAGGCTGCTGAGGTGGTTTGGGGGGCCTCAGGAGGAGAAAGGGGGCTAGAAAAAGGATCTGCTTCTCCATCCTTTAAGGAGAAGCCCAACTGATTCCATTTCCTCTTAACTTCCGGTCACCACAGTGGGTCCCCTGCCTGGCCAGCCAACAGCTGATCTCTGCAGAAGAACTCCCGGCCCCATCCTTTGTCCAGGGAGGAAGTTCGGACTGCAGCCCAGAGCCTGACCCCAGCCTGCTGCTCGCCGTGATCTTCTCCTCCCCCTCTTTCCTCTGGTCTGACTCTCTGGACGCCTCGGAGAGGGGGGGTCAAAAATAAGAGGCTAACACACCCTTGGCAAGTGCTGGGAAGAGGGAAATGTGTTTGACACATGCTCACCCCGGTGCCGGTGCCGAGGGCTCCCAGCAGGATACAATTAATGATCAAGGGGGAGGAGGGGATTGCAACAATATGTTTTTTTTTTTTTCCCCTCTCCCCAGTATCCCTAGTTCCTGGAGTTTGGCAAAATTCCAAGGTGGGGAGAGGAGCATCCCAAGGATCTGTGAGCGAATGGCTCTGCACATGGCCTCAGGTGTGAGCGGAGGGGAGCCCAAGGTGTGCTGCTCCTTCTGGCCTGCATTTCCAAGGGCACCTAGGAAAACGAGGTGTGCACTGCAAGCCACCGAAAGGGCATCGAGGAATGCTCCCCGCGTTTAATCTTGGAGCCTCCAGACTAAGGAAGGAAGGAAGGAGAGAGAGAGAGAGAGAGAGAGAGAGAGAGAGAGAGAAGAAAAAAGGAAGGAAGGAAGGAAGACAGGAGACAGGAAGAGGGAGGAAGGAGACAGAAGAGGAAGAGGAAGGAGGAAGAGGAAGGAAGGAAAAATAAGAAGTGGAGCAGGTAATTAAAGTTACTAGAAACCTCTTATAAAATAAAAGTTAAAACAACAACAACAGGGCTGAGGTTGTGGCTCAGCGGTAGAGCCCTCGCCTAGCATGTGCGCCGCCCGGGTTCGATCCTCAGCACCACATAAAAAAATAAATAAATAAAATAAAGATATTGTGTTCAACTACAACTAAAAAATAAATATTAAACAACAACAACAAAAAACCCCAGCCCTGCTTAAAGTTAGGCTAAGAAATCCTCAGGCACTTACCGAAGCCTCACAGGCAATCAGATCAAAAACGGGAGCAAGACTTTGTTCTACATCATTGCGAGTTTTGTCTCTGGCCATGTTAGGGTTCTAGGGAGGTAACAAGCTCCTTCTTTTGAGAAAATGCTCTTTGTTTTAGAGTCACTGAATTACAAAGGGTTTTCTTGTGCCATGAAGACAGGGTGCCTCAGAGGAGAGCGTCACTGGTCTCCTTAGTCACAATCCCTGGCTCTGTGGGGCCTCTCCATTGGAGAGCACCCTGCCTGTGGACAGAAAGACAGAGGAGTCCCCACTTCCTTTCCGTCTTTTATGGATGGGGTATGAAGCAAGAGACTCCTGTGTTGAAGGCTCGATCCCCAATACAGCAATGTTCAGAGCTGAGGCTTTAAGGAAAGTGACTGGCTCATGAGAGTTCTGACGTCTTCAGTGGGATTGATCCACTGAGAGCTGAATGGGCCACTGGGAGGCAGGGGAAACTGGAGGAGGTGGGAATTGGTGGGAGAAAGTAGATCACTGGGGGCATGCCCTGGAAGGTCACCCCCCAACACCCTGCTTCCTGGCTGCCATGAGCTGAGCAGCTTCTCTGCACCACACCCTTCCACCATGATGCTCTGCCCGACCTCAGGCTCAGAGCAATGGAGCAGGTCACCATGGACTGAGACCTCTGAAACCATGAGCCCAAATATTTTGTTCCTTCTTTAAGTTGTTTTTCTCAAGCATTTGTCACAGCGATGAAAAAACTAACGCACCTTCCAATCCCTTAGGAAAGACAAAGGGAAATCCAAGGTGGAAGTCAACTTAAGAGACCAGACTGGAGATGACCTGGACAACTCTGCATGTAGGGGTCAGCTGGAAAATGCGTCAGGGGAGTCTGTTCTTCCTGGGCTGGTTTCATGGAGGTGGTAACAATACTAGGCACCTATCTGGTCCAGCCAGCACCTGTGTGATGTCCTTTGTGACTCTAGATAAACTTTCCAGGATAAGTAGTATAGACTTCAAAATCCCAATTTTATAAAGAAAATAATACAAGCAAACAAAAACCTTGGAGAGATCAAATGACTTGAGTCGTTTCCTTGGCTTTCAAGGGTTTGGTTTGGGACCAGATACCAGTACTGAGGCTTCGCTGCAGGTTTGGTTTATTGCATTCTGGTTTCCTTTCCCTTTGCCATGATGCTAAGATGATCTAGATGCTTTGATAAAGATTAAGTGGGTGGTAGTTCCATGAAGCCAAGCCGGAAGGTCTTAGGGCCTGTCCTTTCCCTTTCCCTCCCTTCCTCCCACCTCTTCTCAGGGCAGGGCTTTCCTGGAAACGCAGTGTGCCCGGCACTCCATCATGAATGTAGTAATCATCTGCTTGCACTCTGCACAGAGTTAGGAAGATGGGGAGAAAGAAACAGGGATCTGGGACACTCATGTCCCTTCTTCCCTCTTCCCTAGCAACTGCAGGTTAGCCTGGTCTGCTCTTGGGAGGTGTTACCTACGGATCATTTTGTCTCGGGGAGCTCATGTGTGCCGCCATCTTGCTTTATGGTATGGAATCTGAAGTTGGGCTGAGATGTGGACTGGGGGTGGCAGGGGTGGATGGGTGGGGCAAGGCAACTGCTTCCAAGCCCAAATCCATGGAGCATTTCCAAGACCATTCCTGGGAGAACCAGTGATAGGTAGCAAGGCCCAGCTTGATATACCTTGGGTCTAGCCTGGGACTTGGACAATGACTGTGACCAGTGCCAACTAGCATGCACGCACGTCTGCTTTTCTTTCTTATACAGGAAGGCGGCACAACTCGGTTGCAAGCTGAGAGGTTTCAGGCCTTTTGAAGGACTGATGGCAACATAATGGCTGGCAGGCGATGGCATGGGGCTGAGAAGAATTCCACATTCCTCTGGCTGGGCCCTTCCCTTGTTCAAGCTAGTCTCCTCCCCTCCCTTTCCCCACATGACAGTCACTGTCATAGAAAAGCCTTCAACAAATATTAGCACAAGCCGAATCTGGCTACCGTACATCTTGCCTACAGTATCCTCCCAACGTTTGGTGAGCCGCCCCTGGGTGCCCGGGCCCCTGCAGAGAGTCATAGAAAATTCCAGAAATGGGAGTGACCCTAACATTCTTACTGTCCCAACCTCTCCTCCTGGGACAGAACCCAGCACCGCCCACCGCCCCCCCACCCGTGGGGTTCTCCATGCCACATCTAACCTTCTCACCTCGGCCAGTGTATAAAGAGCTATTTTAGGGTGTCCCCAGCTTCTAGACAGTGGAGGTTGAACAAAACTCCCGCGGGTGGGACCAATCCTCGACCCTAATCTTGGCCCTTGAAGTGAGAGCTGCTTGAATACCCCTGCTGCTTATGCAAATCCCATGCAAATCAGGGCGGCTGGATTAGCTGGGGGCGGGGATCCCATGGTCTTTTTGAGCCTTCCCAGCACTCTGCATTGGCTCCGGTGAAGACGAGGAGTCTTTTGGTTTCTTAACTGCTGCTTTCTGTTTTTGAAACTTCTCTTGGGCACTGGTAACCTCAGCCAGAACGGAGTCAGTCTCCCAACCTGGCTCCTTCCAGCTGCAGGGCCTGTGTGTGGACAGGGAGGTTTGTTCTCAGCTCTGTCAACAGGGGCCCGTTGGAAGTCACCACACCTTAGACAGTCTTGCCAAGGTCCCTGTAGGGGGGTGAGCATGGAGAAGTGGCTGGCAATGGTCAGGGGACAGGGTGGGCTCCATCCAGGGACATTTGTTCAGCCAAGATCAGGGTGTCTCACCATAATCGGGACAGATGAAGAGGCGTCTTTGGGGTGGGAATCTTGTGTTTGTAAGATCCCGAACACTCTATTTGAAAACACAGCCAGTTGCCATTTGACATCCTTGGAGACTCCAGCTCAGCCACTCAGCTTGCATATTTATGCAAAACAAAATGCAAATGAGCCCATTGAACCCTTTGTCTATGTCCTGCCAAGCTGGAAACCTGGGTCTCCCAACAGAGTCCCCCCCCCCACGCCTTTGTCCTCTCCAGAAGAGCTTTTCTAAGTAGGACATGGAGTCTCTAAAATTTTGCTACTTCAGTGAAATTCAAACCAATAAACATGTTTCCTGAGCTCCTATTAAGCGCAAAGTACCCTGTTAGACTTTAGTGAGTTTGCAAAGAAGAAAAAATTCTCAAGTTATGGCCCTTGAAGAAATCGTGACATCTTTAATGAGACTTCCAGTTCTGTTTCTCGTGTAATTATTCATTCAACAAACACCTATGGAGTACCTGCTATGGGCCAGCCCGAGGGATACGACATTGAGCAACTATATGAAGGTTCCTTGCCTTGTGAGCTTACATCTAATGAAGGAGACAGACCAAAGGAGGTAGTTCGACATACAAGAACAACATCATCCCAGACTCTGATAACTAACTGCTGGGAAGAAAATGAACAGGGATGTTTTATTGTGTCAGAAAGGTGGCCTTGTTCGGTAAGTCTTTGTAACTCTTAGATCGTTCCTTGAATTTAAAGAAGCCTCAAAAAGAGAAAGGGGCAGAAGCTGCTTTGGGTTGATCATCTCCATCCTTGTTTGCCTTGATGGGAGTAATGGTGTTCCATGAGTTAATAAATCTCATACATATTCATTGAGTGTCTGCTGGGACCAAGAGTGTCCTAGCCCCACCCAGGGATTCACTTGTGAGCCACAGAGACAAGGGCCTGCTCTCCTGGGGCTCAGAGTGCAGACGCAGGTGCCCTGACACTCAGGGACACGATGGGAGGCAGGAGTGTGGAGAGAAGTGAGCCAGGCAGCACGGGGGGCATAGGGTGGCAGTTGGGTGGTGAAAGTGACATGGAGTTGAAGCCCAGGGCAGTGGCCAGGAATGGCAAAGGACATAGGATGGGCCTGGTTGGTTGTGGGGCACGAGAGGGCGTCCAGTGGCCTGTGTGAGGCCAGGTGGACCAGGTAAGCGGGAGCAGAGGCTGGGCCTAGCGGAGCTGTGCAGAACTCACAAATGTGGAGGCAACGTCTCGGTGGAACAGGGGTAGGGGAGTGATCCAGCCAGGTTTCGTGGTTCATGAAGGATCATTTGGGTTGCTGCAAGGTGATCAGACAGGAGGAAGGAGAGGGAGAGAAGCTGGGAACCGGAGGATTGTTGCAGTCATCTGGGCAAAAATCAGTGGCAGCTTTTATTGGAGGGGCAGTGGGACACTGGGTGAGGGGACCATCTCCTCCTGGTTTCGAAGGTCGAGCTAGTTCAAGGGCTGGATGTGGGTGCGGCAGAGAGAGGAGAATCAAGAATGGCTCCTAGGTTTTTGTCTTGAGTGGCGGGGTGAACAGGGGTGCCGCCATAGGTTTTGGGAAGGACTGGTTGGAGGGAGCTGAGCTGTGCTGAAGATATCCAAAGGGCGAGATGAACATTTGTTTGGAGATGCTGAGAAGGGGCTAGTGTTTGTGTAAGTGGAGAGCTCAGAGCGCCCAGCTAGCATAGAGCCCCAGTCTGATGTGTTGCTTCTGACACACTTCCTGCCCCCGTTTCATAAAAAGACTGGATGAAGTGGAATGAGGTTCTGGTGGCTGATGGGAGAGAAGGGGATGTCCCGAGGATGCGGGTACCTGCATGTCCAAGCAGCAACAGAGCACGGCAGACCTTCTCACCTGCTTTTGGCCACTGTCCTGACCCTCCACAGATTCATCAGGTGTAGGCACACAGAGGTGCCCTTCTGGACACAGAATGAGGCCATTTTAATTCTAATCTGAGGGTGCACTTGGAGCCCCAGGTGTACCTTCCTTAGGTAGGGACAGAAAGAAGAATGCATCCTTGTCTTTTAGGTCACCACAGCTCACGGCATCACAGACAAGGAAAGTGAGAGCTGACCGAGGTCATGCTGTTCAACCTGGGCAGAGCTGAGCCTTGGACCCTGGGCTTCCTTTGGTTCCTGCAACATTCCCTGACTGTGCAGACAGAAGCACTATGGGTGTCGTCCACGGTGTGACACAGGCCAGGAGCAAACTCCCTGGCACCTGCCCTGTGCACCTGACCGTCTCATAAGGAAGCGCTGTGGACGTGCTTGGTGGCTTTGCAGGTTGCCAGTCACATTTTTCAGCTCATTCATGAAGGCAACAGCCAATCAGACCATGAGACAATGAGGCAGAACCAAAGGGCAGCTGTATTGGAGTGACAGCAAGGTGTTCGTACCCTTGGGGACCTTTTTTTTGTGAGGCTAGAGCCACTCTTGAGTAGAGGAAGGACCAGAGCCACCCCATCACCAAGCTGGCCTTGTGCGTTGGGAGACATCTTCAGACACAAACTGTAACAACCTGAGTTTTCTTTTCTTTTTTCTTTTTTTAATGAAAACTGGTCACTCTTGCCATTAAGAGACTAGATAAGCCAGGTGTGGTAGCACACGCCTATAACCCAGCAGCTCGGGAGGCTGAGGCAGAAGGATGGCAAGTTCAAACCCATCCTCAGCAAAAGCGAGGCACTAAACAACTCAGTGAGATCCTGTGCTAAATAAAATACAACGAGCTAGGGTGTGGCTCAGTGGTTGAGTGCCCTTGAGTTCAATCCCTGATACTCCCCTCTCCAAAATATAAGAGACGAGATAATGAAGAGTCATCACAGGAAAGGCATGAAACTTGATTGGCAGGTCCACCCCAGGTGCCTAGGATGGAGTTTGAGGATGTTTTTGAGCTTTTTAGTGCTGAGACTGGGACACACCCAGGCAATGTCCAAAATACAGGACGGCAGTCACCTTAACTTTCAGTTCAGAGTGAAAAACTGAAACAGTGGTGAAAAGACATTTTTAAGACAGTTGGGGAGTCTTGATAGGAGCGGTGGCAGCTAACGTGAGCAGCTCTGAGGCCCTTCCTTAGATTCCGTGATGGCGTGTGGGTACCAGGCACAGGCAGATGTTCTGAACTTGAAGAGGGGAGGTGTCCGATACTGCGGTTCATCCTCATGCAGTTCAGCCGCTGAACAAAGCAATCTCAAGTCACCCCTACACACGGAGATAAAGCAAGCAGGACAAAAATATTGATGATTACCCACTTCAGGGGCAGACACTATGGTTGTTCCTTGTACTGTTCTTTCAATTTTCCTGCAAGTTTTAGATTCTTTACACCCAGAAGTGGAGAAAATGTTTTTTGAGTGGAAAGGCCCCTGCTGACTCCTTTTTAGGGACAAAGTTTCTTGTATCAGAGGAGACTCCGTCCCTCAGTTCTTGGTCACAGTTGCTTGGTAAAGGTCGTAAGATGTTGAGAGAATGTGTACACACCTACTGGAGGAAGCAAAGACCTACTGGATCAGCAGTGGGGGAAGCTTGAAGCCAAACTCCACTCCAGGAAGAAACAAATGACTGGCAGGTGGTGGGTGTCCCAGATGCCAGGAAACCCCTAAGTAGGGTGGGATGATGGTCTTTCAGGGTTCAGGCAGGAGCAGCAGAGAGACACCACACAACACAGCATGGTGGCCCACACCTGGAATCCCAGGGTTTTGGGAAGCTGAGGACAAGGATCACAACTTCCAAGCCAGCCTCAGCAACTTAGTGAGGTCCTGTCTCAAAATAAATCATAAAAGTTCAGTGATTTAGTGCTCCTGGGTTCGATCCCTGGTACCAAGTAACAAACAGAAACTATTGCGATGAATTTTTAGTGCCTGAAATGTAATGAAAACTAAAATAATAATGTAATGCTAGCTAAAACATTTAATGAAGCATACTTAACTTCAAGGTCACGAGAGAAGTATCTGACTTTGACAGAGAATTGGAAAAAAAATTTTTTTTTCATCAAGTCTAGGCTGAAAGGTAAGGTCCACATGGGCACCCAGGAATGAAAATTTAGGATGCATGAAATGATAAGCATTGGGGGTTTCTTTTAAAGGTATCCTTATTCCTTTTATCACACTTTTTGGCTGTTGAATACATTTTTCATACTCATTTTATTTATTTTATTTTATTTTGTTTTTTTTTTAAGAGAGAGAGAGAGAGAGAGAGAGATTTTTTTTAATATTTATTTTTTTTTAGTTTTTGGTGGACACAACATCTTTGTTGGTATGTGGTGCTGAGGATCGAACCCGGGCCAGGCGAGCGTGCTACCGCTTGAGCCACATCCCCAGTCCCCATATTCATTTTAAAAAAATAAGGCATGAAAACATGTCTTTCTGATCTTATTTTCAGATTAAAATCAAGGTACTGTTCAATAAGTCTTGAATGGATTTTCTCTGGCTGTGGACAGTGTAGTGTACTCCGGGGATCACTATTGTCCTGGTCACGTGATTCTTCAATGTCAGTCAAGCGCACCAAAGGGACAGCCTACAAATTCGGTGAAGACTTTGAGCCCTTGAGGGAATCTCAAGTCCATTGGCTCAGAATTTGTGAGACTGGCGCGTTTGCTCACGGGTAAAGTCATCCGCGTGATGTCCAAGATACTTCTATTGTGTCCCTGATTCTGATTAAAGAGCCAATGCACTGCGTTCAGCTTGCAACCTTAGACACATCTCCCTGCCATAGCATGCTCTTCCCGCGACTGAGGAGCCCACGACGCTCAGAAGAACACACTGAGGATCCTTCTCCTGCAAGAACTTCCCGAGTCACGCCTGCCGTGATCTTGTAGACTCTGACCTTAGTCAGATATCTGGCTCTTAACACTCTGCATTATTTATTTATTTCAGAAGCCACACTCTCATTTAGAAAGACCTGGAATTTGGGGTTAAATCCTGGGAATGAGGGGAATGAGAAATCAGGGCTGAATGGGAGGGGAATGCCATGTGAGAAAAACAGAGAAATAATATTCTGCCCCTGCTCGGGGTACCTGGCCCCAAGCGCTGGCCATGGAGGGCAGGTGAGCCAGGCAGGGCGCTGGGACACTTTAGAGTGCATAATAACCATCGCAGCTGTGCAAGCAGAGATCAAAGATCAAATCAAATTTCAAGCTGCGGGGACCTCAATCCGATCACCTGCAGAGGTCAGGGAAAGGAATTTTCTTCCCTGGAGAGCCCCAAGATTGGCTGAATTCCCAACAGGGGGGTTTGGCGCTGCCTTGAAGGATCACATTACTGGCTACTGCCCAGAAGCAAGGGAACTCAGCCTGGGGGGTTGATGGTACTGGGGGGGGGGCACTCTATTGTTCCCCTGCAGAGTGTCTGCCAAACAGAAGGGAGAAACTCAAGAGTCCAGGGCCTCCAACAGAGCCAGGGCTCCAAGGCCTCCTTTCCAAGTAGGTGCCTTGAATGCTGAGTGCCATGGCTGCTTTGGAGGGGTTGTGTTGGTTTCTTCTGCTTCCTTTCTTTGAAAGGAAGCATGCAGTTGAGGAGCCCAGGGTGAGACTGGGCTTCTGCCAGAAGGAGGTCAGGCAGTTGACTTCAGGGCAATCCCTCACCCCCACCCCATCACTAGACACAAACACAAAAGAAGGTAGCCGAGGCCGGGAACTCATAACCCAGCTTACGGTCCAGAGGAACACGGCTGCTCCCAGAGCAGCCAGAGAGAAGCAGGTGGTCCCCAGGATTTTCTGAATGTGTATCTTTAACTCCGCGCTCTCTCTCCCCTCCCACTTGGTGACAGTCCACGTTAGGAGCGCACTTAGGGAGGTTTATTGCAACGGTGGGAAGAGAGTTTAATTGGATGATAAAGAGAGAACAGAATTTAGTTCTGGAGAGATTTAGTGGATTGTTTTAGAGTCTCCCCCAAATGGCACTGAGGGCGCCCTTCAGGGTGAGGGGTGGGGTGGTGGTGGTGGTGGTGGTCAGGCACGGGAGCAGGAAGCGTCCCATCAAGTGAACAGAGAGAAGCCAGTGAGGGTGAGCTTGGCCGCTGGGGCTGTGGATGTCAATCAAACTAATGTGTTGGGGGAAGGGGGGAGGAAGTTTGTCACCCGTTTTAATATCAGAAATTCCTTTACGTGGGTGGTAACTGGGGAACAGCTGTAGGTAGCTGAATCACAGCCCAAATCCTTGCAAAAACGCTGGTGGGACCCCAGCCAACAACTGAGCAATAGCTTTTCAAGCTGGAATGGAGCAAGTCCCACTAAGCAAGGCGAGGTGGGGAGGGGGGAGCAAGTTTTTAAAAAGCTGAGTTTGGAGGCCGGTGCATATTTAATAGGATTAGAACACATGAGTTGGAGGCTGAAAATTCTCAACCTGCCTCGTTAAACAGCCAGCCTGCAGGAAGGCCCAGCTCTTGGAGCCATGGCAGAAGAGCAGAGGGAAGGAAGCGCAACACCTGGGCCCTCTCCAGGGTGGCCAAGCTGGAGGAGGGATCTGGGAGTTCTTTTCTACCCTGCACCCTCTCTGAGGCCTGGGCGCTTCCATTCTCCCCACTCTAGCCCCAGCTACGTCCACTAACACACCCAGTTTGTCAACACTGCCTTAGGTGCCTTGTCCCTGTTTGACTTGGCCCAGGCTGCTCTGCCCACGGCCTTGGTTAGCCGTGCTGCCCAGCCTCAGGTCTATTCGAATCTTCTCTGGATGTGTCTCTGATTCTGGGGCTTCCAGATGACATAGTGGGAAGGTGCAGGGTGAGCTGAGACCTATTTTTTTCTTCTTCTAAATATGGATCCTATTTCCTGGCCTGATGGCTTTAGCCCTTGGTTCAAGAAGGCTGCCTGATCCCGGGCCCTGTGCGGCAGCTCCCCTGACTTCAGACCCCTGTGCTAACTCTGTGAGCAACTTCGGATGGGACTTCTCACCTCCTGAGCCTCTTGCTTCTTCATTTCCATCTAGAGGCCACAGGCCGTTCAAGCCTTTCTTAGGACAACCGCCCCTGTCACTGAAATGAGAAACCAGTCCCAGCGTTGCCATAACTGTTTGTCCCCCATCATGTCACGGGGGCCAGGGATCACCAATGCAACTGTGTTTAAAGACGGAGGACTTGCTGGGTGCCTCCCGCCGGGGCACCCATGCTGTCTCAACTCTAACCACCTGTTTGTTCTTTTCAACGTCCTGGGTACCACTCTTAGCAGCTGGGAGAAATCTGCCCTGAAAACAATGACTAGATGTTCCTAAGGCTCAAATGTGTGAATCCCCTCCTTCCTGGATTCTTCCTTAGACAAACTGCCCTCTTCCCCTTGTGCAAATTTGGAAAGAAAAGAGCTGACTTGCTCAGAAGGCCTGGAGACGATTGCTTGCAGGTAGGTAGAGCCTGAGATCAAGAACCCAAAAGTTGCAGGATCGCAGGGACTTGGGTTCAAACTTTGGCCTTGACTCATTAACCGCATCACCCTTGAAGAGGGAGTGAATCTCTGTAGTCCTCAGCTTTTTTCAATCCAGAAGTCAGTCAAAAAGAGAGGATCCCATGAACCGAGACGCAACGTGGCGTGGTTGGTGAGCAGGTGCCTACCCCATAGGAGCAGCACTGCTTGTTGTGATTAGCAACCAGCTCTTAGGAAGCATCCGCCTATCTCAGGCCTTTCATATGACCCCTCCTTTGCCAGTCTCAGCTCAGGGTCCTGCCCAACTCCCTTCCTTCTTGGTCCAAGTCCTCCTTCCCAAATTGACACCCAGGCCCAGGACTTGGGTTAGATAAAGATCTAGACCCAGACTTAGAAGGCCCCAGAGATCCCCAGCTTTGAGCAACCCAAAGAGATTCTTGGGCTTCAGGCCCCGGATGTGGAGGCCTCAGGAATCCAGGGGAGCAGGGACCATTCCGACAGCTCTGGGGAGCCCCTGGCCAACGCTGTGTGTCCTGCCGGCTGTGTAAACACATTAACCAAATACGCTGGGGTTTCCAAGGCCCACCAGATGGCAACACGTAGAGTGGACAGTGTGGTTTCTGTTTCTTCTCATCCCTTCTTATTTTCACTTCCCCCTCATGCCTTGGGGTAGGACAGAAGGTGAGACGCCCAGGAAGCTCTGTGATAATCCTAAATCTTTATGGGGTTGTGTTGTCCCTCGCACTGCTCCTTAGGACCCAAATCAGGGACTCCCCGCATTGCCCAGGCTTTACCCTCTGTCTTTTCTTCCCTACCATCCATTCTCGGAAGTCCACATGATTGAACTCTTCTTTTGTCCTCAGTTTTCGGACTCCCTTGCCCTGCTCTAGTAAGTGGCTTCCCGGCGGATGAGAATTCTCGTCTCTTTGTCTATTCCTGCATCTCAGAGCGCACAGCAGACACTGTGTTTTTAAAAGAAAGCAAGTGCAAGGTTCTCCCCCAGGGCCAGGCTGGACAGGAAGCTAAGTCCTGCTGAAATATTTTCTGGAGTCTTGGGGATATCGTATGTTGTATTTCCAGACTTTTCTAGGAGATCCGGGCAACACAGGTCAAAACGGAGATTGTTACACTCAAGTTTCTAAGATAGAGAAAAGTGGCTGGCTCGAACGCAGGGAGCCATGCATATGCCCGAGCTCTGCACGCTGGCACAGGCTCGGTCCCCCTTTGGGGCAGCCCAGTGGGTAATTTATGGAGGCTGTCAATCAGAGCTAAGGAGGCAGCCACAACAGCTGTTTCTGAAAATGGACCCAGAGTGTCCCCTGACACATCCAATCCACCCCACCCTTCCCCTAGCAGCTGATCATTGCTGTTACCGGAGACTGGAGCTGGTGACCGACCCTCTGGCCTCGTCCTTGCTCGGCAGCCAGCCCTCGGCTCCATCCCAGGCCCTTCTCCCCTTCAGCGTTCACCCACTTTTCCCGTCCCAGAAGTATTCCCATATCGGACGGCACGCATCGAGGTTTTGCTGTTCCTATGAGTGTGGAGGCAACCGCTGAGGCAGTGTCCTGGACATCAACCCGCGGTCAGCGTCCCTGGCTCTGTGTCCACCGGCAAGGGGTCATCAAAGAAAACAGAGCCAGGAAAAGGAAGTTGGTCTTGGAGCAAACCGAGTTGCTGGATGGGAAGGCTGGGGCCTGGGGAGGAGACAGAGGGGTGAGGCAGGACAGCAGGAGAGGGCCCGCTGAAGAGGGACGATGGTGGATCGGCAGGGGTCACGCAGCCTGGGCTGCTCTGAGGGGGGTCATAACCTCTCAACCAGTCTTCCGGTCACTCCAGAGAAGCCACAGTCAAAGCCCAGAGTGATCTCCAGACTGCGTTTGGCTTCTGGCCATTCTCACTCATTGGACATGCCCCGTGGTCCTTCATGGTGGGTGCAGCAACTTGAAC